ATAAATATTTTACACAAAAATTACTTAACTATAAAAGAATTTATAATATAATGATTATATTCTAGTTTTATATGCTTAATTTGTAACATAATGTTATGAAATTAAAATGTTTATGTTTTTTTTTTCTTTTCTTCTTATAGTGAAGATTCAACAGAAGAAAAATCATGTCAATTTTTGTTTGTACTTATTTTGTTATTATATATATAAACTTGTGTATGTATGAGTGTATATACTCACGTATTATGTTTTATATATAAACTTGTATTATTTATATGAACTCATAGTTGTATATTAACTCATATATTTTTAATGTAAAATTTGATAAGTATACAAGTATACTTTGAGGTATACCTCTACCCAACAAGTCGGGTAATAGGTATAAGTTTTCAATACCTAGGTAAGTAATGGATATTGAAATTTTGTATCTATCACTGTTCAAGTCAAGTACTAGTATGAGCAAATACCTGACCTATGCCTACCCATGCTCACCCTTGGACACAACACAAATAAACCTCCCATTTTCTCGCATCTATCAAGTAGGCTCTTAAGCTCCCCCCTTAGAAGTCAACATAGTTCAGCTTCTGCTTACAGCTTAATTCGCCAATTAGGTTCTCTCCCACATTGTCCCTTATTCCACTCCTCCCTTTTCTTCATTATCTTTTCACTTGATTTTCATAGCAAAACGTAACCTTTTCTTTAAAAGCTCATTTCCTTTGTGTGAAGCTCATATCTATTTTCTTATGAATAAGCAATTTCCCTCTCTAAAGGTCCTAGATGAAGCTGATCAAATGCTTGATATGGGCTTTGAAGAGGATGTTCGCTCTATATTGGGAAAGACAAGTTTTTGTATATTCCAAACATCAAGAATTCATTTTTTTGATCACCAATGAAAGTAAAGTAAGTGCTTCGTCATTGCATGGGTTTGAACTCCTAACTTTAATGATGAGCTAAATTTAGGAATATTAATGTGAAATTTTTGCTTTGATATTATTGATATTTGAATGAGTTTTATAAGATTTTACTTGATTTTACATAATTTTCATTTTTGTGTAAGAAAGAACTTAATTGAAAGAAATCATAATTTTTAAAAGCAAATTGCATAGATAAAAAAACTAAGGATTAAGTTGTGTGGAGTTCAGAAGTTTGGGACCAAAATTGTCATTTTATCATTAACATAAATTACTTAAAAGGCCATAAAGCCGACATGATGATTTTAGTTTGCGTTTAACAAAAGGTGTTGTACGTAGTTGAAGGTGTTAACATAGTATTAAAAATCAAACTAGATTGTCTGATCGAACCATACCTGATAGTATAAACAATTTGGATACACCCTTCAAACTGTTTGAAGGGTTAAACCATTTGAAATCGTTAAGAACAATTGAAACCACTCAAACCAGTAAACCGTTTGACCGGATGGTTCAATGCTTAGGCATAAAGTCTTGAGAAATTTATGTCCCTCAGGGTTTGAACTTGCAACCTTGAAAACCTTACTCCAATCCTTTGCCATCAGAACAATGCAATTCTTGTGTTGATGGGTGCTTGAACTTTTATTTATCTAATAGAAATCTCAAAACTTTTAACCAAATTGTTGATGACAGCCATGGGATTTGAACAACATTCTCCATGTCATAAAAGAAAGACTCTTCCTTTTGAGACACAACCTTTTATTTGCAATTTTTTACTTTACAATATATTTGTTCTATTTTTACAAGCACAATTATATTAAAGTTTGTTTTTCAAGGGACTCAAACTTGTGATCTTTCTTATAATAAATCAACTACCTACCACTACACCCAGCGAACACCATGTGAAAGTTTTTGCATAATAATATATTTATAGTATTTTTATCAACCCGACAATTTTACTGATTAAAATGATTAAACTGTTCAAATCGTGAATCGAAGGTCAAAACGATTTGACCTCTGGCTTGGGTTTAAAAACATTGTGTGTTAACCCCTTACATGATTTTCAGAAAATCCATGTTTAATTTATTATTTTGGGTGTGGGCCCCACTTCTTTCCAATTAAGGTTTCTAAAATCCTATATATACCTATCCAGATTCAGAATTGGGGAAGCTTTTGGAGGCTAATAGCAGCCCTCTTTTAAGCACTTTTGGAGATTAAGATAGATGATTCATCATTAATAAAAGATCAAATATTTCAATTTCCTCAAATTGGGTTTTGTCCTTAGATTTTTTTATCTATTATTTAATATTCGAATGTTCATAACTATAATTTCAGGTTTTATTATTTTTATTATGAACTAATTTATTTTATTAAGATTATGATGTAGCCTAATCAATTTATTATAGATTTTGTGATTTTATGCTTTTAATTAAGTTATTTGCATGATAAGTTATATTATTGAACTTAATGCAATGAAAGCTTGATCACTTTTCAATTGATTTAGTGATTTATGCATGAACTTGAGAAATAATTGCATAAATTAGACCAATAATAATATAAATCGTGTATTAGACACTGAGACTGAGAGATAATTAGTACCACACATGATAGGGGAGGAAGAGAAGAGAGTTAGGAGCTCTCCTTTCTTAAGCTAGAAGTTTTCACAAAATTTAATACTCATTAGTTTATTTAAAATTACATAGAGATATGACTAATTTAATAAACAAGTGAAGGATGTAATTTGACTTAAGAAACTAGTTAGTTAATTTAGGGAAATCTATCATTACATGCAATCTGCAATGCCATTTATTAGTTAGAAAGAGAATTTAAGGACCACTTTGAATTTACTATGCTAAAGAAAATTCATGAGTTGTTTTCCATTGTAACAAGTTGTTTATTTCCTTATTTTACTCTACTTCTTTTACTATTTTTCTAGCAGTTGGAATGCTGTTGCACAATACGAGCATACTAAGGCATTATCATTGTTCAAGAAAGTAAGCTGTCCATTGATGGTAAGCTGTAGCAAATTATAGGTGTTCTCTTTACCTTTGTGGTTGCTTGAACTTTTAACTTCTAAGTTTTACATGATGTGTTGGATGATTATTGGTGTCTGTGCCAAGCTGAAATTGGATTTTCATTCATAAATTAAAGATATGGTCTAGCATAATGATACTTCATCTTTTAAACCACATGATAGCATAGACTTCTAACACATGTATTGCAGGTAGCTACAAATGTGGCTGCTCGAGGATTAGATATTCTTGATGTTGAAGTAGTATCAATTATAGTTTCCTTCTAACTATAGAAGACTATGTCCACTGGTTGGGAGGACTAGAAGGGCTAGTTAGAAGGGTGTTGCTCACACGTTCATCATGCAGCTAGACAAGGTATTCAATTTTTTTTAGAAGGACCTCTTTTTTTTAGCTCTAGATTCAAATGATACTCTACACCTCCCATCTTGCCAAGGGGTTTACTTTATAATTTTATATGGATTGTAAACTTTATTTCAACTAGTGATATATAAATTTCTTTCAAGGACTTGTTGGAGAGCCAATAAATGTGCTCAGAGGAGTTGGGCAAATTAGGCCGACTAACTTGTTAAAATTTGGAACTCGTGAAGAAAAAGGTTGCATATTTGCCCTCTTATAATTTTCTCACTTTTTTCCATGTGTGTTCTCACTTGTGTTAAAAATCATATTTCATACCACTTCTTACCTGGTAAGCATGTCTTAATGTAGGAGTGCAAGTCATATGGGGCCTTGTTGAAAATCAATGAAACAATGCAATGAGTTACTGTTCACAAGCACTGTTCATGTCCGATTTAGGTTAAATTAAGTTGCTAAGAAGTTTCTTTGTTGATTTTTCAATGTAATCTCGATGTATCTTTGATGTTAAATGTTCACTTGAAAATGTAAGCTAGCATTAATTGTATATAGCACCATGCCCTTGCTTTATGGGGTTAATATTATTATTTAATTGTAGGTGAACATTGTAATGTGTTGGTAATGTCTTGCATGAAAGAATATACCAGAAACTGATGTAATACGTATGGAAATCCATAGGAAAAATCTAAGCATAATCTCCATCTCAATTTGTGTCATTTCCTTCATCTTTCACATGTTTCTCAAGATATTTTCTTGAGTTTTATGTTGGTTTGAATCAGTTTTCTTAACTGATCTTACAATTGGTATCAAAGCCCATTTCTTTAGGGATTTGT